GCAGAAGTGACAGCCACTAGGGAGAAAAGTGGCCTAGAGGTCGAGGTGGGAGTTTCTAATCAGGTTGGAAGGGTATAGCATCAATGTACAGAGAGTGTAGGTATAGAGAGGAGAAAGGACAATCTACCTTCAGGAATTTCACAAAGGCATATTTGGCTGGTTCTATAGCTCACTTGTGGGAAATATTAGGGGTTGCTTGCTAGTTATATGGGAGCCATATTCCACAGGGCTGAGAAAGCCAAAGTAAGTTATTTATACAGGAGTCTTGGCCGTGGGGTCCAAAAGCTTGGGCAAGTTTGTAAAGTGATCTAACGGGTTACATAAAGTACATATTAAGATATTTATTATATTTTTAATCCAAAATTACATGTTCCTAATATTTAATAAATGGGTTGATGCTAATATTCTTTTACTTCTTCTGTGAGTTGGTCACCTGTTCTGTGAGGAAGCCCGAGAGAAAACTGTGAGTTACACTCTAAGGAGAAGGTATAGTGAGGTAGTCACTTTATTTGCCCACCTTTATGCTGAGGCTTCTTATTCAGTTAGGCAGCTTTCTGGTTTTTATTACCTACTAGTAATTACACCAGTTTTCCTACAACAGGTAAGTGGTAGATGAAAGATTCTTACAAAACAAAAATCACATCATAAAGATAATAAGAAATACACAAACACATGACAAGCACATTACTAAAGAAGCGGACACTCCTCATATCATTACAAGCTTTTCATCACCAATATTATAAGATAAAGGCAATGATGACGAAGCTGAATCGGATCAGACACAGGTATCCAAAAATGTCTGCCATTATCAAGGAACCATATTTGACATCTGTATTGACATTAGCTTTGATGCTAATGGTAAACCTTGCCTGAACACAACATGCTTTAGCACCATAGCAAGTGACATTATGACACCATCACAAACTTCCAAAATTTTCTACATATAAATATTCCAGTACTTTACCAACTTTCAATAAATTGAATAACAAACAACTGGGAATCTTCTTTTGATCTTTTAATTTAATACTAAAAGACCAAAAAAGGCACACATCATTTGGAAAAATTTGATTCATCCACCATGGAAAAATGGATGAAGTAATATGTATGAAATGATATGGTGACAAGTCAAACTGTATTTCTTTGTCAGCAAATATTGTTGGAAAGAATAAATAAAAACGGAAGATTTGGGAGAAGTTATCAGACCAAAGTGAGAGGCAAAAGTGTTAGTAATAACAGAATCAAAGTGTAGATATTTCTAATATGTTTAGCTTAAAATAGTACTTCTGTTTTAGTAATACTTAAAGTACTGCTGTAAGCTACTAAGGAAAAATGTACCAATGAATGGAGTTAAGACTCAATATAGAATGATTGTTTAAGATATATATAGATATAGATATAGATATAGATGATATAGATATAGATATAGATATAGATATAGATATAGATATAGATATAGATATATATAGATATATATACACACCATATATGTGGCTATATATATATATATTCATCTTAATGAAAAAACTGTATATTAGCTATTGAAGAGTGGCTTTTTTTGGTTGGAATTATTCTTTTTAAAAGAGTAATTATACAGAGAGACCAGTACATGTGAAATTCATTTACTGCATCTGTGACAAGTAGGCCAGAATTGGACTCAGAATTTTACAGATGTGATATATTTTGAATTCGGTTGAGACCTTTACATTCTGAAGAATATCTTTAATGTTTTGTATTGAGATAGATAATAACTAAATTTATTTTAACCACAGAAGTTTACTGATTATGTAATGGGGAATTAATTTTAAAACTTCTGGAATATGAAGATTTTATTCTTTTTTGACAGAAGCAGAAGAATGCCAAATTTGTTTAAATTTTTGGTGATGACAAGTGGTTATCACTAACCAGATATTATAAAGTAAATGGGATGATGGGTGGAAAAAGTAGATGGGAGAAAGTAAACCCGGGTTATCAGCAATATGCTTATGATTTAGCAAAAAATGAACACTAGCTGTTCTTTTAGAGAATTATGATATGAAAACAGCCCTCTGAATACAGATATTTGGAAATTTTATGTGATTAGGCTATATAAAATGACGTATGTAATTTTTAAAAGCTGTCATCTCTGTTCCTTTAACAAAATTTAAAGAGAATATTTTAATCTGTTTCTAAGCCCTCCAGATGAAGAACTCCAGTGGGTTTTAAAGCAATTTGTTTGTATGACATTACACATATGTATTTAAATACCACATTTTCTGACAGCAAGAACAGATTACTGGTATCAAGGAAGATAGATATTTATTTGTGGAATCTCCACAATTAACAAAATTTATCTTCAATTTCAAACTTAGAGAATGAGTAGGAAGAGCTGGCAAGTACAAATTCTGATCCATTCCTTCTAATTCTGATATATCCTTGTGGGTTATCTTTCTTGTTATAGATAGTCATTAAAACTAGACATCAAAATACCAAAATAAGCTTAACTTAGAAGCAGAATTTCAGATAACTCTATCATAAAATTTAGACCAATAGTTTTAAAATATTGACACACAGTGAATGCTCTCTCTAAAATACTATTAGTAATCATATTTTAATGTGATCAAATATATCTATTAAATATAATAAAAACAATAGTTTTAACTTATTTCACTGACTTATGTTTTTGTAAATGTTTTATATTGTTAATAATATGTTAGTAAATACATTAATTAGGAAGTAAGTATATACATACTGAGGTCATAAAATAAAAGAAAAAGTAGTGATTAAAGGACATGATAAAAAGAAAGTGATAAAGGTGTAAAATAAAATTCAAAGTACATTAACAATATTTGGATTCTTGTTAAGATTCTTTAATAAGCAACGGAGACCATTAGCAATATCTGAGTGACAGACTTAAATTATGTGAACTTTGGAAAATAATTCTCTTACCTATTGGAAACAAACTAAGGGTCGCTGGAGGGGAGGCGGGTGGGTGAATGAGGTAAGTGAGTGATGGGCATCATTAAGGAGGGCACGTGATGTGATGAGCACTGGGTGTTCTATGTAACTGATGAATTACTGAACCCTATGTCTGAAACTAATAATGTATTATATGTTGGCTAATTGAATTTAAGTAAATTTTAAAAAGGAATACTCCTTTATAATAAAAATGATATTTTTATTAAAAATTGAAAAAAATATGTTCTTGAATATATTTGGTCATTGAATAAGTAAAACTGTCACACACAAGCAAAAAAAAAAAATCTGATAGCCACATATATGGGAGAAGGGAGACGGAGCAGGCACAGTGACCAGTAATTAAATTATTCAAATTATGAGTGAAAGGTCATAAAGGCCATAATTAGGAGGAGTCCTCAGGAATAGGAGTCAACAGACAGGAGTGTGATAAACTGGATGCGGAGGGCAAAGGGCAGGCTGGTGAGAAGAAATCAGATTGCTCAGAGTGGTAGTGACTGGGAAACTAGAGACAGATGAATGATAGTGCCATTACCAGAAACAGAAAGTCAGAAGCAGAAACTGCTTCTATAGAGAGTAGGTAAGATTCGGACATAATGAGTTCCAGTTTATGGTGAGGCTTTGAAGCGGAGCACACACTGCGTATTTGAGAACACAGATCTGATACTCAAAAGAGGGCCAGAAGGTGCACTGGTAGATTTACGAATTGCTCATGTGGTTCCCCTAAGAAGACAACAAAACTCAAAACAAAAACAAAAACTGTAGCAAAACACAAAGGACACCTCATCATAGATTAGGAAAGAAAGCAATACAGGGAGTCCAAGGAGAACACATAAAGCATGATCAGAAAGAGAGAAAGAGAACAGAAAGGGAAGGGTCATGAAAGCCCAGGGCTGTTTCACAGAGAACCGGAGAACCAGGAAAAGGCATCAGGTCTGCAAAATAGTTAAGAGAAGCAATGGGGTGGGGTGGGGGGTGGGGGGTAGTGGTGGTACTAGATCAAGTCATTAGATAGACGAATATACAGGAATCTGCTCTGACTCTGATCTATGCATTTACATAATGAAGTAAAACCAGGATTAATTTAATGAGTGATACATCAAAGATGGGTTAGTAACCATGTTGTTAAAAGTGTAAACAACAACAACAACAACAACAAAAAAAACAACTAAATCAGAGTCAGGATGGGCTATATATTCTAATTAGAGTTCTAATATTAAAATTTAATATTATTAAATCATTTCTTTTTCCTTCAAGTCATTGCTGCTATCTGGGAATTAAAATTATTCAACCAGATATTATGTAAGATCTCGTGTAGCTCTAAAACAATCAGAGTTCTTCTAAAAATGACATTATTCCATATGCAGATAGAGGTTAAGATGAATAATCTCAAAAGTTGCCACTAAAGAAAGAGAACACATATTATTCCAGATTATGTCTGAATTATAAATAATCCTTCAGTATTAAACACATTAAACAAACCCCAAATAAAGTATATTATATTAAAATCATGTTAAACACTAAAATTAACTTTTGTAAAAATGACTTTTGTCCTGAATTTTAGACACACCTTTTTTTTTTTTTGCAGTCACACTTATTTAATTATTTCATGGCTTATGGCACCTTAAATGGCTTTCAAGTGAAAAGATACTTGTTGACTTGCTTAAACAGTGTCTAGGTGAACAGAAACTTAAATAAAGACACATATTATCTTATATTAAAGGTGGATACTGATTTTATGTTCATAGCAGAGACCAGAAGAAACTTAAAATTATAAGTTCTTCTTATTGCCCTACAGAATTCGATAAATTATTAGAGACACATAAAAACTGGGAAAATAAATTTGATATCTCTGCTTTATTTAAGTTAGATTCAGCTGTCCAAAAGCCAAAGCTGTTCATTTTGGCAAGCGTCACATTTGTCTGAAAGTGCCTTTAATCGAAGGCTTTCCCTTACATAATCACCATGAAGCACCCTGTGTCCTTAGCTAAAAATTAGCCAATTTCATATACTTAAGACTGTGCAAAGAGAAGGAAACCGTGACTTACTGTTTTTTCTCTCCCATGTTCCACCTGATGTGGCTTCGTGGTGCGTGCTGCCTGGGGCTGTTCTTTCACTTTTTGAGTCACCTCATCATCTTCCTTGGGCGAACTTGGGGGTGAACCAGGGAGTTTATCTTCCATCTCGGTCTGGGTCTGGGGTTGCTCCTCCTCTACCACCTGTGGAGCCACTCTGCCCGCAGGCTTTTCTTCAGCAGTTGGTACTTGAGTTTTAACTAAGTCTTGTTTCTGTTCCTTCTCTGGAGCTGATGGTTTTGTTGCTGGGGGTAACTTTTTGTCTTCAGAGGCTGGCTTTTTTTCTTCAAGAGGTGGTTTTTTTTCTTCTGGGAGTGGCTTTTTGTCTTCAGGGGGTGGCTGTTTTTCTTGAGGGGCTGAAGTTTTGTCTTTCTCTAGTTTACCCTCTTGTTTCTGATCTGTGGTTGCCTTTGGGACAATCTTTTCAACTGACAGTATTTCTTGCACTTTTTCTGGAATGATCTGCTCAGCTTCCATTTTGACTTCTTGTTCCTTCTTTTTCATTTTTACTTGGATAGGCATTGCTGTTTTGGGAGATGGTTGTTCTGGAGGGACAGGCATAGGAGTGGCTTTTGGTCCTGAGGGTGTAAGTGGCATCTTGCCCATATCGCCAAGCTGTCCTGATAGTGCTCTCTGGGTTTGGCAATTTAAACAAAGCCATTCTTGAATCTGCAAATAAAGTAGCAATGAACGGATTAACTATATCATAATGCATCTGTTTTGGTCCACATAATAAGGTTAACATCTGGTGATTTCTAGTTGCTTTTTTTGTATAGGCAGAAGGTAGGTCACTGTTTCCCAAATCAATGAAATTGTGACTTCTGAAGAAGACTGCAAAAGGACTTATGTAGAATCTAAACTTATGAGGAATCCCTAAAGATTGGCAATTCACTCTCCTCACCACAAGGAATTAGAAAAAAAAAAAAAAAAAAAAGCATTAAAGATGGAGCTGGGAGCGGAGGTCAGGGGGTGGAGACAGAGCCAGGGGAATAGTCACTTTTTTTGGTGAAAAATCTGCATTTGTTCCAAATGGAATATTTTTTAGCTTGGTGGCTTCAAAATTGGTATTTCATATATTTACATAAAATTATTAAATTTTATGGTCATGTTCTTTTTTTTTTAAAGATTTTTTAAAATTTATTCATGATAGAAAGAGAGAGAGAGAGAGAGGGGTAGAGACAAAGGAGGAGGGAAAAGCAGGCTCCATGCCGGGAGCCCGATGTGGGACTCGATCCCAGGACTCCAGGATCGTGCCCTGGGCCAAAGGCAGACGCCAAACCACTGAGCCACCCAGGGATCCTCTATGGTCGTTCTTTTAACTGCAAATAACCAAAAGTTCTGTTAGGATTCAGCGTATAATCTCCTATCTCTTGATGTGGGTCAAATGTAGCTCTATCTACTAGAGTAGAACTTTACAATGTACATGAAAAGTTTTCAAGAATCATTTGTGCCTAATCCTCTATCTGCTTTAGGACTGAAAGATAATTTCATTCTCAATACTCATTCACATTTCTTCTGCAATTGAGCAAGATGGAATCATGGGATCAAAGTGTTTGGTATCTCCCCCCAGAGTTTCTTGAATTGCTGACTAAAACAGCTCCTCATACTTCTGGTCCTTGGTGTAATCCATGGGCCACCTGTACCAATGGACTGAGGTGGTCATCAGACATGCAAATTCCTAGGTACTCCTAGCACTGTTTTAGTAGGATCCTGGGGTAGGAGAAGGAGTTCATAAACTGGCTAATTCTTGGTTGATTCTTTTGCAAGCTAAATTCTGAAAACTACTCTCACGTACAAATGATGGCATGGGAGACTGATTATGTTAGACTGGTAAGATTGCAGGATTCCTCCCTTACTGAGACATGTTTGCTTTTTCTTACCTTATAACTATTTTAATGTAAGACTAAAGGCTATATGTGAAAGTTTTAATTGTTAAATTTAACAAATACCTACTCTGTAAAGCCCACAGTTGGAAGGGCATACAAAGAGGATTCACGTGGTACACTGTTTTCTGAGTTCAGTTTCAAGCTCTCTAGTTACAGGACTTAAGATCACTTACTCTTTTAGAATATTATTAAGGATCTAAGTTTCATTTCTTCAGCTTCTAATTTTTTCAGATATAAAAAAATGTTGCTGACTAGTAATGACTGTTTTGCAATCTGTAAGCCATTATAATTCTTATATATTTATCTGAAGAGTAAAGACAAAAGTCCATAATTTAAGTTTTGTAAAATGCTCTCTATAAAACATCAGCATGCATCATGGGTTCATTTGCTTTTTTGTGTGTATGACCAACCAATACTAATTTTCTTATTAATTTCAGGTCTAAACAATTCTAAAGTGTGTTGTAGCTCCTTCAAGTAAGAACTAGATAGTCTTAGGAGGGGCACCTGGGCGGTCATGTCCTGGTGCCCAGGGAGTGAGCCCAGAGTTGGGGCTCCCTGCTCAGCAGGGGAGCCTGTTTTCCCCCTCTCTCTCTCTTCCCCTCCCCCTACTCATGCCTTTTCTCTCTCTCTCTCTCAAATAAATAAAATATTTATTTATTTATTTATTTATTTTTAAGATTTCATTTATTCATGAGAGACACAGAGAGAGAGAGAGGCAGAGACACAGGTAGAGAGAGAAGCAGGCCCCATGCAGAGAGCCCGATGTGGGATTCTATCCAGGGTCTCCAGATCAGGCCCTGGGCTGAAGGAGGTGCTAAACCACTGAGCCACCTGGGCTGCCCAAACCTAATCTTAAAAAAAAAAAAAAAGGTCTTAGGAAAGAAACTGATTTGACCCCTTATGCCAAATACGTAAAGCTCGTTCCAGCCCTTGTGCTGGATAGTCCCTGGAGGAGGCACTTCCATTATGCCTACAGAAAATCAATTTTTATCTGTGCTGTGGTTTTAAAAACCATTACTCAGCAGAGCCACATCTGAAGATATTTTCATTCAGAACCTGAATTTTTTTAAAAAACAAAAGCTGACACAAATAGCTGCATCATTGCTGTTTTGTCACATGGATTCTAAAAACCCAGTGCAGGTGTGTGTTAAGCATTCCTGTCAGGCCACGTCCTAATGTAAGTAAGTTAGGAAGTTTTTAATATACCAGGAATAAACATATCATTACATTGCAAATCTTTATCAATAGTGTGATCCTTTGATCTGAGTTTTTGAAACAAATTATGGTCACAGAGTTGTCTCTTGCTACGTATAGTATACAATGGTACACAACTCTTGTTAAAATGAAGATGTTTTATTGGCAAATCGAACTCCAGTAAAAAATATACAAAAAAAAAAGAAAATGTTTTGAGAAAATAAACAAAGTGACTATTTCAAGGTACTATACTTATTATTTTCATGTATTTGAAATTTAGGTAAGGGGATAAAAGGTATAATCTATTTAATCCATAGTGTCACATAAAGCACTTCATTTTCCCAGTTTAAAATAATGTTTGATAAACCTACAAGCAGTGATAACCCATGCTACCATGGTCTGCACAGAAAGGGAAGGCAATAATGTCAGTCTAAAAGAAAAAGGATCTTACCCCCAGAGTCTCACTGGCTAGATCAAACTTCTGTTTTGCTAGAGTTTCCATTCATATGCGGTTAAACCTGATTATTTTTATACTTGGTCTCTCAGTTGCATGCCTGATTTGCATCTGAAATAAGATTGTTAAGACAAGCCTAATTCTTTTGACTTTACGCTTTGACTAACTGTCACCAAAATTAATTTGGAAACTCACTTTACTAACATAGTCAAATAACGATGACAGCATAATTCACTTATGTATCTACTCTGTATATAGTTATTCAGTTTATATCTATGGGGTACATATACCACTGGGCAAGTATATATGTAAGGTTTATTCCATCAGGGATCTCACATTCAAGTAAAAGGAATAAGATACAGGTTAAAATATGCAGTAGAAAGATATACGTGTGCAAGGAAAATGGAAAGAATGTAACTGTTTTAACAGTATTGTCTGATGAATTTATTTAGAACCTAAGGAATTTGATATTTTAGAAATCACACAAAAAAAACTTTTTTCACCAATTAGAAATGCTGAATTGGAAGTCTCATATGTGTGTCTCTTCTTTCTGCAGCCCTAGAACCAAAATTTGAATGCCAATAAATTCAATATGCAGAGGAAGTTATAACATCAATATGGAAGTAAAAAGAGGAGGAACATACAGTAACACCAAATTTTTTCTATTTCTTTAAATATGTGAATTTAAATTTTATTAAGATAGTGGGTAAGAAAAGGCAGAGGCTAGGGTAAAACTCAAAAGTAGAAATGAGAAATGCAAAACTGATCCAATTTTAACAGTGAGTAAAAAGTAAAAATGAATTTTCAAGAGAGTTAATTTTGGACAATATAGATTATCATCATTATATCATCATTAAATACAAACAATTACTAGAAAAATTGGCTTCACAAGGGGCAATTTAGGAAATACTCTACAACCACATAAGATGTAAAAATCTGTAGTTCACAATTTTTTTTGCATTCTTTAACAAAAATAACCCCAAGGATTTCTGTATCACTGTATTCAGGGATTTCATTAAGAAGTATTACATTTCGAAGTCCAAAAAAATATTATGTCCCCTCTTAAGCTCCTCAACAGCCACACCATTAAATACTCATAATGTTTCTAGTTCAATAGCAATCTATGAAAATACGAGAAAACACACTGAAAAATACAAATACTTATGGTTTTGGTTTTTTTTTTTTTAACATACAGGTCATCATTATGGATGCTTTCAGACTATTTCCATTGGTTTCACTGTATTTTTAAAATATGTTTTATTTTCAGTATTCTATAAATATCCCCAATCATGTAAAACATAATGAAAGTTTTTTACCTATGTTATTATCAAATGTATCAAACAAATTCAGAAGACTCTATACGACCAATTGCCTTTTTGGGCTTCAACATTAATAACCAGGGACATCAAAGTCATCCCCAAGTAGGGAAAATCTGATAAACAAAGAGTGTATATAAAAAATAACTCCATGTTGATCACAACATACTAGAATGTATTCAACTGTCAGTTGGTACATGTTAATAGGATATGTTTATTTTAACATCAAATTATCAGGGCTTGTTCAAAGCAATGCTCCACAAATCCATTAATCTTAAGAGGAAAGTAGGAAATGAAGGCAATAAAAACCCAGAAGAGGGATGCTGCTGTGCTACTCAGCATTTTCCCATCAGTAAGCAATTTGCTTTATATAACATTTCAGTTGTAACTATAGCAACAATACCATTAAGGAAAATCTCAGAACTTCAGGCCTGCCTACTTATTTTTCTGAGTGTCATTTCGGAAGCATGCTAATAAGACCTGCAGCAGGTTCAAAGTTGGCCGTTAGACTTAAAATGGTAGAGAAATGATGGCTTGCGAAGCCTGCATGAGCATTCATATCTGTGTCTGAGAAATCTTCACCACATGTTGGCATGAATTTTCATTAAAAGACCAACCAGCCTAATTTGGAAGCTCACAGTTTCCATCAGTAAGAATATGTAAGCAGAGATGATGTGCCCCCTACTCAAAATTCTGTAAAGGAATACCAAGCAATCAAAGGAATTGATGCTTGAATATGTTGGAGTTTCCAGCCTACTATTAGGTTTCTGAGTCAACAATAAAAATTTTACAGAGGTTCCTGTTTGTCTATTTATCTTC